GACGCACCATGGTACGGTGAAGGGTTTCACAGGTGGATGCAACCCACCTAAACCAAAGGTTGATAAATGAAAGTTTTAAGCTGGAATTGTCAAGGTCTCGGAAATAAGGCAACTATCGGGTATCTTCGGGATTGTGGAAACAACATCGGCCAGATTTTTTGTTTCTTTCTGAAACAAAGCAATCTTCTTTATTTATGGAAAAATTTGTTGGTCATTTTGGTTATAAAATTTTTAAAACGGTTGATCCTATCGGTTGTAGTGGTGGTTTAGCTCTTGGTCTAGTGTATCGATGGATCAAAAGAAGAGAGAATTCAAAGACTTAAGAAGAGAAGAACTTCTCTGTTTTATTAATAATCCAAAAGCTGCTGAAAACCTTAGAAGAATAGAAGTTTATACTACTCCAAAACATTAGGAAAAAACCCTTGTGGTCAAAGCTTGAACACCAAGCAAAACCAAAACCGACTCTAATTAAAACCCAAGACAATTCACGAAAGCCCAAAAGTAAGAATAGAAACAATAAGTAAAACTTAATAAAAGAAGAGTATAGATGACGCTGCATATAGTTACTTGGCAAAAGAAAATTGATCTCATTTTTGCTTAGACAACTGACGTAGAGAAGAGATCACAAAACATTATTTCTTTTTATGTCTAGATTTTTCTGTATGAGGAGGTTTTGATCAAATTTCAATGAAAATACCGTTATAAAACAATCACAAACTGATTTATTTCTTTAGAAATTGCAGCAAAAATAAAACCTTGTTCAATTTGTGTTTAAAATGCATCAAGCCATGTCTTCTTTTGAGCTTTCCAAAACCGATTAAGCAACCACACAGAATCTGCTGCCGTGGAGTTCCCATCTTGGTTCCTATTCCAGCTGAAGTAAGCATGAGTTCTGTTTTTAATCTCTAGCAACCCGTGCCCAAAGCTAGCTTCTCGAAAAGCGGAGTATTTGGGTTGTGGCTGCATCATGCTACAATATAGAAAAATCCAGTCACATATAAATGCACAGAAAGTGTAGAGTTGTATATCAGTAACAGAGTTAGTTACAGAGTCGGTTACAAGTAAGTTATAGATTGCAGAATATGGTAAACTTACTCGGTAACCAAGCCTTCCGAGTTTCCTCCATCCCCGATTGTGATGTATACAGGAGCTGACTCATCCGGTATTGGCTCACACAGTCCATTGACAATGTTGTAAGCAATGTTAGAAACACGTTCCTACATCATTACTTTAGGATCACTTGAGGGACAAGGGAGGAGTAGATATATATCAATTTGAATATTTGATTTGGGGACGAGTAAATTAACTTACCGATCTCTCATAGGCATGAACATGACCTGCAAACACAACATCAACCTTGTATTTGACAAACCACTGTTCGTACATGACTCTCAATGTTTCACCTTCCATGTAATGATGCACATAGCTATGGTAAAACGGGCAATGTACTAAGACGATAAGCCATGGCGTCTCTGTTCGATTCACTCCTTGTAACTCTTTTTCCAGCCATTTGTATTGAGGTGTGTATTTCCCTAATCAATAATATGCAAAATTAAGTAACAAGCTACTAAATAGTTCTTTATTTATAAAGCAATTCTTCTCTTTAATTCATTACCATAAGAAGAATAGCATGACATAACAATAATATAAGCTGACGCCCTTTTGATGGAATACCACAATGGAGAGATACTTCCTGATGCCTTATATGGCGTATGATACCGATTCTTAAATGGCTTGAATGGTTCTGTTTCACCCTATTAAACAACAAACTCTTCAAGTTAAATTAACCAAGAAGTAAAAAGAGAAAGAATGGTAGAATTCAAGTCTTACAATGTCAGGAACGAAGTCGATTTCGTGGTTGCCAGCAGTCCATATCCAAGGTTGATAAGCAACACTTCTCTCAACGAACCTTCCCCAAGTATCCCATCTATTGTTGTCATGGTTAGGGTATCGATCCGCGTAAGACAAGTCTCCCACAAACAGAACCGCCTGTCCTTTTCCCGGATTCATCTCATAATGGCTTAACGTACTATTTGAGTCATAAGTTTGTCCTAGATCCCCTGGAACGTAACAGAAAATCACACATTGGAAAGTTTGAGACATTAATCAAATGTCTAAGGTTTTATATGAAATTTAAAGAAAATATTTAATATACCAATTAATCCAAATGTGTAAGGTACGTCAGGGCCTGGTTCAGGCGGAGTGAAGAACCAGAACCGTCTGGACCACTTGCCACTCCCAATTTCGTAGTAATATTTCGTATCAAACTGCACACGACCATGTAATGAATGAATAAGAAAGAATAAAAGAACCGTAACTAAATTACAAACACAAAAGTTGTTAAAAGTGTGTTTAATATAAACATATAGGATCCGAACCGAAACAAACCGATCTAAAAACCGAATTATATTTTAATATGGTTTAAATGGATTTCTTTTTCTTATCCAAGAAAAGAAACGGAATCTGAATCCAAACCCAACCGAAATACTTGATCGAGAACCAAACTATATTTTAGTATAATTTCAATGTATTCATTTTTCTATATCCAAGAAACTGAATTTAAATCCTATCTAAATCCGAAGTTTCATTTTCTAAATTAAGGATATATTCAACTATAAACAGAAACCATAACCATATCCATCCATAAAAGATTAAATTAACCAAAAAATCCAAAGAAATAAAACGCTAAACCAAACCGAAATCCGGATCGAAAACCGCTTTAAACTTATAAGACTTACTTCCAAATCATCGATGAGGCAATGGTGGATGTAACCGGAAGTGTAATTAAAGAACCGGTAGGTGTTAACGGTTCCTTCTTCTTGCTTCTTCGATTTCTCATTCTCAAACCAATAATGAACAGTATTTGAACCAGGCTTAACCGGAGTCACCCAAGAAATGATCACTCCGTTACCTTCATGATTCCCTTGCGTTACATGAACTTGTTGTGGTGAATTAGGACCAGGAGGAAGTGCAAAGACATCGCTGTCTAATGGCATGTCATCTGGTAAATCACTTGCTCTGACATATTCACTGGTGATTCCTCCATGGCATAACTCAACAAGAACACATAGCAAGAAGATTATGAAGGAAACTCGTTTGCTTGTGAGGTCAGATCTTGAACTCATCTTCAAGGTTAATTTTTCTGAATCCGAGACGAAGAACGTGCTTTAGATTTTTTTTCTCTTTGGGAAATTAAACAGCTTGTCTAGTAGCCTGACATGGACATTGTTGACTTTTTGAGTTTTCCAACAAGAATCGTAAGTGGATATTCCAAATTTTTATTTCATATTTTTAATTCCTTAGAAATTATAGGACAGATATATTTTTGGGCAACCAAAAAAAAAAAAAAAAGAACTTTCTACTAAATCTAGGATCTCATATAATCACTACAAAAAGATTTACCAAAACACTTTGACCAATAGACGAATTCCCTGGTTTTTAAAAATATATATACTATAAATATACTAGATATGGATCCGTGCGTTGCACGGGTTACCGATCGAAATTATTATTTTTAATTTTTATTTTTGTAAGCTTAACTAAAATTATATAAAAATATGTTTTAATTTTTAAAAATATAGTATTTTAATTATTTTTTATATATATAAGCGTTGAATTAGCTAATCTTTTTGGGTACATCTTGCAAAAATAGTAAAAACTGCGATAAAGTGGAACATAGATAAAAACACTTGTATATTTCCTTGATATTTTGTATGAGTCTGAACATTAGAAGAAATGAAACATTTGTGTTTTATGTTCTATAGAAAGATAATGTTGATATCAAAAAATTATTGATCGCGATTGGAACACACTCAAATCCAATCCCTCTACATGTCATGTCAATTTCCGATGACTTTTTCCATTCCCAAAAATCACACTTCAGCAGCCAAACCCTAACATTGTAGCCCTCCTTATCTGGCATCAATCTAGTGTGTTCCATATCATCTTATAAGTGTTTTCTTGAGAGAAATTCTTGACAGATGCTACATATCATCTTATAGCATGGATATGGGCAACTAATACATGCTATAAGTGTGTTCCATATCATATTTTTGCATTCTATCTGGTAATCCTATGGCTCTAGTTCTAGTTCTAGCTTGATTAAGTAGGACATCATCAGATAAGAAATTATAGACAATAATTTTGGAGGAATTGGTACCACCAAAAAAAAAAAAAAAAAATCAAGAGGAAAAGGATTAACTCCTCGAATTTTGTTGTGCTTTTAGGACTTAAAACTTAAAAATTTAAGAAAACTCTTATAAAAATCACTTTTTTAGGGTTTGAACTTATAAAAATTTTCTTTATTTATACCTTATTAGTTATTATTACTCGAGAACTTGTTTTAACTTTCCAATTCTTATTTAGATTTGGATTGTACAAAAGAAAAAAAAAATATAGGTGATAAAGCATAACGAAATCATTTTAAGTTTCTAGTCCTCATAATTTTAGATATTGTTTTTAAGATTATTGAAAGTAATAATCGACAATAAATTTCTATATAAAATAAAATATATATTTTTATCTTTTTGGAATTAAATTGTAGGTACAAACTTTCAAAACTAAGGATTTTAAATAAATTAAAACAAACATTAATGAAATGAAAGAGGACACATGTCACCAAAAGAGAGTGCCAAATGTCGCAATGGTAGGAAAAGTTAGAAGAAAACCTTCTCATATTATATAAGATTGTATTATGTGGTATTTGAACTAGTAATTATTGCACATGAAAACATGTGTATGATTATGTACAAATTAAGTTTTTTACTTTCTAGATTAAGAGACTATTTGGAACTTCTAGTAGTAGGATGCTCATACCACACTTTATTTTACTGTTGCTCACTTATTATAATACTCTCTGTTTTTTTATAAGTGATGTTTTAAGTTTTTAATTTTCTTAAATAGATGATGTTTTCAATTTTCAATACAAAATTAATTATTTTGTTATTAGTTTTGACGATTTATAAGTTGTAGGTTTTTTTATTGGTTGATTAGATAATAAATGATGTTTTAGTATAGAAATAAACAAAAATTAAATAATTTTTTAATGTATGTGCATTTTTCTAAAACTTCACTTATAAATACCGGAGAAAATATATAATATTTAATTTATATTAGTAATTACAGCACATGAAAAGATATGTTACATTAGTGCGAATTAAAATTTATATTAAGAGACTATTTGAAACTCCTAGGAGTGGGTGCCATAACACTTAGTATTTTAAAAATTGTCCACCTCTTCAATTATTATCGAATGAATACTTCATTCTTAATTATCCAATATCAAAATGTTACTTGCTCCACTAAAATAAGAATTTATACAAACAATCAATCAGAAAACTTTAATCAATAACAAAAAATCAAAGGACGAAGAAGTAAATGTCTTCTCCTTACAAAACCCGTAATACATCAATTTGACATAGCAACACAATCCAAAACAAAACAAAAAAAAAAAGTAAATCCAAAGAGCAACAAAACTAAGATTGGGATAGGAATTGCAATGAATGGTTTGTTGATGTTAAGAACAAGACCAAACTTTTCAAGAAACCTCTCAGGCTTAAACTCATTCGGATCCTCCCAATTCTTAGGATCTCTATGAATCACTCAAACATTAATGAATATCTTTGAATCTTTCGGAACATCATATTACCAGGATAATGGTACAACTAACATTACAACAATCCACACAATTTTAAATTTATTCATGTGACGACATTAGACACCGTCACATTGTACCACTTCTATTTATACATACATATACCGTCACATTTTACCACTTCTATTCATACATACATATAGATATAAGTCCACATAAACAAAAAGCAATTTTTTTCCTCCTTATACTTATTATAAACTTAAAGATCAAAGATTTGGATCCGAGAACCTTAGCACGGGTGTTGCAACAAGTGGATTCTTCAACTTCAACACAATCCCAAACTTCTCCTCGAGCTCCACTTTCTCTCCTTCCCCAATTTTCCAATCAAAAGAATTCAAAAGCGTTGCAAGATTGTAAAGAACCACTCTCTCTGCCATGGCCATTCCCGCACAAATTCTCCGGCCAGATCCAAATGGGAAATAGCTATAGTCATTACCACTAAAGTCATAATTATACTTTATCAAGAAATCTATCAGGATTATACTCCAATGGATTTTTCCATACGTTCGGATTTCTATGAATGGCCCATACATTGATGAATACTTTCGAATCTTTAGGGATTGTGTAGCCGCCTATAACCGTGGTTTCGGATGGGCGGCGAGGAACTAGAAGAGGAAGAGTAGGGTGAAGCCTTAGACCAAGCACATAGGTGATATTACTTGAGTATCAGTAGCCCAATAATTATTTTTTAATAGACCAAAACATCTATTTGGGCTTGATACGTATCAGTGCAATGATATCTTTGATACTGAGTATCAGGTGATGTGGCAGCATAATATTGGTCACCGAAAACGCGTTTTGGCAGAAAAAAAAAAAATTCATTTCTTTCTCTCTTCTCTTCTTACTGCGATTCGCGAGAAAACCTCTCCTTTCGTTCTCTTCTACAATCCGCCATGGGTAGGTATCCGAGCTCTCTCTTTCTCTCTTCATCGCTCTATGTTTCTTCTTTCTCTCTCGATTTCTAGATTGTGCGCTTACTGCTTTTGTTAGTCGATCGGATCTTTTCTTCTATTTTGGTTGAATCTCTTCGGCTTACTTTGTACCTTCGATTATGAAGCTGATGGATTTTTTGCTCTGGTAGTTAATCTTAAATCGGAAGGAGGATATCAGCTTTTGGATTAGAAATCGGATTAGGGTTTAGCTGATTTGTTGGTTTTAATTGGCTTGTGTAGAAGTGACCTAGACATTTCTCTTGGGAATTCGTGTGAATTTAACTCTCAGGTAGTGAGGGATTGTGTATTTAGTAGAATTCTTTGCTAAATTTCGCATGTTGTTGGTATGTTTCGATTTGCTTCTCCCACGTGTGCTTTTCTGCTCCTTATGAATGATGATTTTGATTTTAGTGGTAAATTTTCGTTCTCTAGGAAAAATTAGTTCGTGGACTGACTTGGATTCTGAAGATGAGGTCTTGCGGATGGATTCAGAAACTACATTGAAGCAAGAAGTAGCTTGGGCTACTCATTTCTCCTTACATGTGCTTGTTAATCTATGGATTTAACTCACCTGGTTGTCTCTTTGTTTTCTTTGCTGCAAACTGATATGTTCTTGCAGTTTTAGATTGCTATGGTTTGAGGAGAAATTCTCTTGTAATGTCTGTTATATTAATATCTTGCAGGCATGTCTTCTCCCCACTCTAGTTTATCTAACTTTGCTGGTAAATCCACAATTGGAGGACAGATTCTTTATCTTAGCGGTCAGGTGGATGACAACTTTATGACATCTCTTGCCTCCGTCATATAGCTCGACTTGTTTTTGAGCTTTGAAATGGTACGTATACTGCCTTTAATTTCAACCTCACTTCTATTTTTTTTATTCATTGATCTTTTTGTTATTATGATGATCACAATTCCAAAGTCTACTTATTTGTTTATGCATTTTCTTCAAAATTCTCCTAAAATAAAAGTTGTTAGAAATCGTTGTTTCACGGCCATGGTTTTATGGCCCTCTCTAGTAACTATCATCTACAAATCCGATCTACTAACCAAAAAAACTCAAATGGTTTGCTCAAAACTTTGTACATCGTGTGAAAATGCAGGATCTTGGGTGATATCTTCATGGGACCATATCACACTGTGTTCGATTACGGGAAAGCAAGAGTTGGATTCGCCAAAACTGCTTAAACATGATCACTTCTTTAATACCCTTTTTTATATGATGTTTGTGAATGTGTATTTAGACAAAATCTTAAAATGGTTTGTAATAACTTAAACATAATGCTATCCTAGAATGGTATCATCTTAATACAGATTTTTATTTGGTTTCAGAGCTGTTTGTTTTGCTTTAACTTACAGAGTACTAAGATCATATTGAGTCCAGGGATTTAGTTCTCTCACGATCAATGTATTTCACTAATCACTTAGCCTTTGCCAAAGCCAGTGTCATTGACCTCGCTCTCAGGGTCAGGAAAATTCCCATGAAAAAACAAAAGAAGAATGTTGAGATTGCGAACAAGTTTAAATTGAGTAACAACAAGATGAATGTAAGCATTTTAATGCTGTTTTGAATTTTACATTGGATTGTAATATTACATTTTGTAATCTTATGTTTTTATAAATTTATTTTTCGATTTTGTAAAAAAAAAATTTTATTTAATGATACCAATACCAGTCTCACCACTGGAAACAGATTTATTATCAGTATCATAAAAAGTCTCAAATAATAAACAAACATTAAAATTAATACTAAAAAATTGTTAATGATACTTGATAAGTATCAACTATGTGCATGCTCTTAGGGTTTCCTTCATAATGGAGAGAATGTATGGAAGTTAAGTGATATGTGTTTCTTCTACGATGTTATTTTTACCCACAACTTTGTCGAGCTCTTGTTGAGCTTTCTTCATGATCTCCGGTTTGTTTATAAGCTCTGCCATTGCGAACTCTATTGTGTTCAAAGATGTGTCTGTACCACCAAGCACCATGTCCTAATCATCAAGAAACATATAAATTAACAATATCCCTACTACAAAAATTGCGTTACAACAAACTTTGAGGCACTCAATTCTTTTTCTTTTTCCTTGTAATCGAATCACTAAAACCCACATATAATTTTGAAGTATTTCTAGTAACATAAAAATAAAATAAAATAAAATATATGCTTTACGATTTTGTCATCCGTGTTTGAAAATAGAAAGGTCAAAATTTTAAAAATCTTGCGGACGCTTGTATCAAGAAACAATTACCATAAGGAAGGCCTTGACATGGTTCATGGACATGTTTTCATCTTCTTCCTTAGCATTCAACAAAACCATCAAAAAATCTACGCCGTTCCCTTTACTTCCCTTATCCATTCTAACCCGTTGATTTATAATCCGGTCGAACATCAGGTCCATCCTCTGAGCCGATCCACGCACACGCTTAGCCAAACCCTGAAGATCAAACCGGCTCAAAACCGGAAAAAAATCAGAGACATTCGGCTTTCCGACAACATCAATTATCGTAATCAGTTCCAAGAACTCAGCTCCAACACTATCTCTCTCCTCTCCATCCGCAACCGTAGCTCCCCACAACATCTGAGTGATCACCACATTTAATATCGTGACAAATATTTGTTCTCCAACGTTAACGGCAGACCCGGCCCGAGCCCGGTCTGCCAAATATCGGACTGTTCGCTTGGTCTCCTGGCGGCGAAGTAAATTGAAAGAATTTGAATCCAACGTGGCGTTGCTTAACATTTTGTTAATGCAGATTTTTCTCAGCATTCGCCATTCTGTTCCGTACGGTGACCAGACAATGTCTACGCCACCGTACGTGCTGAGCGAACCTACGACGGGAACGTCGTGGTTCGCAAAGATGACGTCATTGGTTCTTAGAATCTCGCGTGTGGCTTCAGAAGAGGTTATTACGATGGTTAGTTTCGCCCCGAGCCATAGTTTGAGAACGGGTCCGTGTTTTTGAGCTAGACTGTGAAAGTAGGTGTGAAGCTCCGGGTGGAGGAATGGGAGGTTTCCGACGACGGGTAGACCCCGAGGTCCCGGCGGTATCGGTGGAAACAGCCGTTTGGATTTGGTGTAAACCCATATATACCAAAAAACAGAGGATATGACTATTGTAGCTAAAACAATGTTGAAGTGGCCATTACGATTTTGGATCGTAACGAAAGTGAAAATTTCTGTCATTGCTTCTTGTTTATTTAGAAACACAAGAATCAATTTGGAAAATTTGTTTCTATTAATTGTTGCAAGGTTTTTCTCTTTGTATCAAATTTTGACATGAAGGAGAGACTATATAGATGCTAGGTTCTAAGCTGATCAATTATATAATTTTATTTTGTTATCAAGGATTATAAATTTTTTCATATTAAATCTGATAATTTGTCAACGGTATACCTCATTATTTACTTATAATATATTATCTTTGTATGACTAACTATTGCAGATGATAACATGTGTATGATTAGTTTGTTTGATAATCAAATGTGGCTAAATCTTGGAGTTTTAACCTTAGAAGAACGAATTAAAGTCTTTAAATTAAGACCTTAATTCAAACTCCTAGCAGTGGAGTGCCATAACACACTTTATAAAAAATTTGTTCAAGGATTATCAAATGAATATTTCATTTTCAATTATGTAATGTCAAAATGTTATATACTGCTCCACAATAACACGATTATATAATCAGTACTATATAATATTGTTATTGTGGAGCAGAATTTAACAAGATTATAACAATATCAAGTTTTTCGACATGAAACTCGCATTTGCTTAGAAGTAAATAGAAAACCAACATGTTAAGAATCTAAACAAAAAAGTAGAAATATTAAAGACACGCCAAAATAGTTAATCAAGAACACAGTTTTGGAAGTTTGAACTCATGAATATAATCACAGATTCTGCTTATTTTTTCTTTCTTTTTGGCTTTCATGTAATTAAGAGGAAACAATCTCAATTCTTCTGTATCACTCATATGATCTCAGAAAGCAAAAACTACTCTTCCCTTCGTGTCTCAAAAAGTCTTTTTGAATCTAATTATCTCTACTTTTCCTCAGGATTCACTTGCTGTCTGGACCGGCGTGCACAATCCTGGAAACTCTTAACAAAACCGCTACATTTCAATGGGTCACCGATATTCTCCTTGTAGCATTTCATCCACGCTTCATGATATGACGAACAGGGCATTGGTTTAGGTTCCGGGATCTTGAACTCTTTCTCTCTCAGATCCTTGGCTCTCTCTGTCACTTCATGAACAATGTTCTTCTCTTGTAACTCCAGCTTCTCAAGAACCTTCTCACTCTCTTTCACAACGGATTTTATCGATTCCAGCTCCGTGCTTGCCGCTGCTTGTGGTGGTATCGGGAAGAAAAATGGTGGCTGCATCGGTAATTCAGCCGCTGGATTAGGTTTCTCTGCATCTAGGCGTGTTTTCGCTTGATCTGCTTTGCTCTGTGGTGAGACTTTGGGTTTGGTTTTCTTTGCCCTCCTCTTCGGTTGTTCGTTACCTTCAGCTAGCTGATTGATCAGCTTATTACTGATCTGAATCGAGAAATCGCCCATATTGCCGAGTTTGAAAAACCTGGAAGACGAAATCCACATCAAGAAATACATCCACAACTTAGTAAACAACAATATATCCTCAAGATCTAATGCGAGTACAATGTAAAAAAGCACAAAATATTTGACAACAAAGCATCCCCATGTCAATAGTTTCAAGAAAGCTTCCTCACATCAATATTCAACGAGTCACAATAGATTTTGAAATTCTCTGCTTCTAGTATTTTCAAGATCTTCAATTCGACGAATCAAAACTTAGAAACCGAAAGCAAACAGATATCTAATCTAACGCTAGCATCTTGTCTTAGCATGTAGCAACACAAAGTGACTTTTTTCCTATAGTAGTTGATTACTTAAAGCTATTTTTACATCATTTCTACTTCTGTGTCGCACTGTCGCTTTCAAAAAAGATTCATCCGAGGTACTTAAACGATAAAGTGGTAAACGATTATCGCATTCACCACAAGAACAAACACACTTCCAATTCAAGAGTGCCAAGAACTACACACAACCGAAACTATAAGAACTCTAAATGCTAAGCCTGTAATGAGTCTATAAATGGTTCAAAAAGCTGATGAATCAGACGAGCCAATACAGAAAATGTTCCTAAATGCATGTTACAAAATTTGTTGAACTACTTAATCTAGATTCGAAGATCTTAAGCGTGAAGGTAAGTAAGATGAAATTACTTCCATGAAAATGCTTCAGATTCAACATTGACCACATCGATCCATACAAAAATCGAACGAGTAATTCTTCGAAATCGATATAGAAAAATTCTTCAGAACAAGGAAATTTAAAAACCCTAGAATCTAACACCAAGCAACAAAAAATCGACGCGAGAAAAACGAAATTCAACATTGGAGAAAGAAGATTACGATAGTGAAGAGAATCAATACCTGGTAGGAGAAGATCAAAGAAGGAATCTGTGAACGACGATTCTCTCTTCGCCAGGAAAAACTTGTTACAGCTGCAAAAAAAAAATGGAGAAGACGAGAAAGATACTGCGACGCTCTCCTTCCCAAAGGGTATGGGCTTAGTTGTATGACAAAAATACTATCTTTAGCCCAAAGTTTCTTATTGGGCTTATAAGGCCTTTATTACATTTCTGTACATATAAACAATAGTTTATTGGGCTACCTTATTTTTCATCTAGTGTTTTTAATTTTTTTATAAAATAATTATTTAACAGTTTTTTCATGCATTACATAATAATTTTTTTTGTGCATTACATAAATTTGAACACAGCATAATTACTCGTTTTTTTTTTTTTGGTAAAAGGTAGCATAATTACTCGTTCATTGGCCATAATTATATCAGACTAATCACACATGTTTTACAATATTATTAAAAATGAACTCATTTGATAAAAGTCATTTATAGCTAAACTTATACAAGTCACCCATGAAGTGGGAAATAATAGAACATAAATTTGATCTAATTATGTATACGTACGTGTCAAATAGGTGTTCGTCGTTATTATTTTTCCGTATAGAGAACGTGCAAAGATATATTACTATAAGATAGCTTATTTGTTAATTAGTAACACGTGTATAAACGTAAGACTATACGTACCAAAATGCTTACTTACTTTTTACGGTATTGTCCACGGAAACGCCTAATCTCCGACAATTTCAATAACCTTTGACGATGTTAGACTTCGAACACTATTTTTTATATTGTTTTCATTGAAAACCTTTTACGATAATAAGTTTTTTTTTTTTTTTTTTTTTTTAAAACCAGGAAGTTCTGGACCAAAGTCTGTAATCCCTCCAACCCAAAACCACAGCATGTAATATAAGTTTCGTTCCAAGCGTCACTCGAACCGGCAACCACTAAACTTCGCCTAGACATAGAGCCGGCCAGGAGTACAAGCCACCCAAGCTGGTGCTTGCGGCCCCAATATATTTATATACTAAATCGGCCCCATTTTTCCGTGAAAATCCTTTAGTTCAGCTGGAAACATATTAGCCACACAAAGATTTGGTTGCAGGTTCGATCCCCAGCAAAAGAGATTTTTTTTTCCCTTTTTTTCAAAGGGAATATCAGCCAAAAAAAAAAATTTGCTTGTGGCCACCAAAACTTTAGGGACGGCTCTGCCTAGACAATAAGTTTTTTCCATCAGTAGCAAGTATCTTTTGTATGTTATTGTGTGTTCATTATTCAGTTAATTTTAGGATTAACTGTTTAACGGTAAATATGTTCTCTTATATTCACGATAATGTATTCCTTTCCTAAGAATTAGGATTCACACAAAATTAAATTTACCATTTATTCAATGGCTTACACTAAGTCTGAAGCACATTACTGTAATTTTAATAATATGCATATATACCTTCCTATCTAATACAGTAAGTACTACATTTGTTTCATCAAAACATATTCTAATCGCATTTAAACTTTAATTTTGGTGTTGAAAAACTAATGGTCGTACGCGTGTACATTCGCAGGTATGTATTGTATCCTATCATTTCACATTAGTTCCAAAGTCATTTTCAGTTTTCACCAACCAATTAATCTAGGTTTTCCAACACTCCATCAGTTTTCGTGAAATGATATTAAACAACTATATATAAGAACCTTAACTAGCCTATCAAAAAAAGAACCTTAACTATGATTTACTTTTGACAAAAACATATTTTAGCTAACTGTTTTTCTTCACCAAAATGATTGATTACCTTTAATATACTATACATTGCTCTAGAAAGAAATATATCTATCGACATTAAAAATTCTATGAAATATATATACACGATTTCTAGTTTATCCACCAAAATATTTTAATCATCTCACACCATTTGTTTATTCACGCGTCACGCGTGTTATGTATAAATATGTTATACTTTTGATTATTTTATACGTGAAAATGAACCATGCATATATATCATTGGTAGGTATACTGTATACATATTATATTGATTCTCATAAGAAAGGTACAAACTTCATTTCTTAGAAATTGTTGAAATTTCCCCATCACACATACCATCTATTTTATGAACATGTGATGCGTATATCTTAGTCGTATATTCGGGTATAGTTAATTTATGCCAAAAGTCTATATAATTTATGAACCTAAGCCTATATAGTGTATGCAAAAGTCTGGCTAATACTCACCATCTTTAAGTATTAATATTGTATTTCGTTTACTTTATAGTCTATGACTCTATACATTTTATCTGACGAAAGAACTTTTTTTGTTTTGATCAGGATCGATCGGACCAAAGATTAGAGATGATTTTTGAAAATAAATTCCTAACAAAACATATAGCGTCATTTATATTTGTATATATATAAATTCCTATACTCTTTGGTTTCACTTCTCACCTTAGTGTGGTCAACTGATGATATACATTTATACAGTAAAACCTCTATAAATTAATAATGTTGGGACTAGCAAATTTTATTAATTTAGAGAGGTATTAATTTATCGATAAATTAATAATTATTAATTTATAGAGAGATTATACTAATTTTGTAATTTCTTAAAAACATTTCTATCTAAAAATAATTTTTTTCTTTATAAGTAAAATCTTTTAAAAACTAATTACAAGTAGAGAAGCAATTATTAAGTTTAAAAAAACAACACAAACTTTTTCGAATAATAGAGTCATATTTTATTAAATGTTTTTATATATAATATTTTAAATATATATCATAGTAATTAAAATATGACATATATATATATATATATATATATATATATTTATATCATATATATATATTGATAAGTTTATATAATTATCAATTTATGATATCGATGTGACCATATGTTTATATGAGATTTTCAAAAAAATTATTATCTTATTAGTTTATCGATTTATGTCATATTTTACATTGGTCCCAACTCGGGACCGGAAAAATTTATTAATTTAGAGAAGTTATTAATTTATAGAGTATTAATTTATAGAAGTTTTACTGTATTTGTATATACGTAACGTAAATTGAAAAATATACCAATTAAAAATTACAAAAAAAAAGGTTGTGGTGGAGGATGTGAGGAGTTATTGGGGTTTATATATACGTGGGTGAGCTAAGGTGCTTAGGTTTTTGACATAAATCTTCTAATTTGGTATATACTTTCTACTTTCAAAAAATTTAAGATCGCATATCTCTCTCAAGTTAATATAACAATTATAAATACACTCAAATATTAATTAATGGGGAGGCAGCCTTGTTGTGACAAGCTCCTGGTGAAGAAGGGGCCGTGGACGGCGGAAGAAGACAAGAAACTGATAAACTTTATATTGAGCAACGGCCATTGTTGCTGGAGGGCTTTGCCGAAGTTGGCCGGTCTCCGTCGCTGCGGGAAGAGCTGCCGTCTACGGTGGACCAATTATCTCCGACCTGACTTGAAAAGAGGTCTTCTCTCCGATGCCGAGGAACAGCTTGTCATCGACCTTCATGCTCTTCTCGGAAACAGGTTTGAGCTAGTTTTAACCATTTTCTTTTATGTGTAATTGATCATCTGTCATGTATTCTTATTATATACTTTCTCTGTCCTATTTTATAAGATGTTTTGTGTAAAAATACAAAGATTAAGAAATAATTAATGTTTATTTTTTATAGGAATTCAGCCAATAAAAAAAAACTGTAGAATTTAATTGATCATAACATACTAAATAAACATAAATTATGTATAGAAATCAGGAAAAATCTTGTAAAATGGAACAAGTAAAAAAATGCTAAAACATCCTATAATTTGCGACAGAGAGAGTATGTATTAACCACACCGTCTTTATTAATAATCTATTTTTTTTTCTTTCTAAAACATGTATTACAGATATGAATCCAAATATCGACGCAGCGAAGATATTATCAAAAATAGCGAGGCTATATATGCCAAATCTATATATATATAATGGGAGAGTTATCTCTCCATCTAGAGTGTCCACATCATCATCCAAGTCATCCTATTTTAATTTTGTGTGGACTCCACATATTTTATTTATTAAAACAAAAAACACTAAAACTATAATTAATTCACACATTTTGTAATTTAAATTATTATATTTTATTAAACAAAAATAATAATTTACAATAGAATAAATTACATATTAAAAAAACGAAAAAAATAAATTTATAACACAAAATATGAAATTTTTGAATAGAGATTAGATAAACATAAAATATAATAATTGTATTTTAACATATAACGAGTAAATATTTCTAAATGACTAGAGATATGAAAAAAAAACTTATCATATATTTTAATGATAAAACAATCATTTTTAAGAGTTATAATTATTTTGTAGAATAAAGAAAAATAAGACTTAAAATATATTAAATTTAAAGGTAAAAAGTAATTCATTTCTGAAAAATATACATTTAAAATTAAAAAAAATAGATAATTTTTTTTAATGTTAAAGTATCAATTCACGATACTGATTAAAAAAAAAAGTTGAGTACATATTATTATTTATATTAATAAAATTTTCTATATTATAAGTCTTTTATAAATTAAAAAAGTGGTGGGTTTTAAGAAAAAAAATCAAATGAATACCTAAAAAACTAAAAACTAAATATTAATTAGTGTTTATGAAATTTTAACATAGATCAAAAAGTTTAAGGTGATTTGAAATAAAACAAAAACTATCCTAAACATCACAAATAAAAATAATAATAATCCAATCGAATACGAAACTGTGTAATAATAATATTTGTGAATGCTATTTGGAAATTAGAATAGTATTTGCCATATTTGCCATATTTTTTAATCAATCAATTAAACATTCCATAAAAAAAAAGAAGAATAGTTCTGGTAAATTGAAGAGTTTTAATTAGAAGTAAAAATAAAAGATTAAAAATATATTTTAAAATTTGAATGATTTATATGAATTCGTAAGTTACGTTACGAAAATCAACATTAAGAATACTCTATAAAATCATAGTATACTTCAAATTATATATGTGAATTTATTTTTTGCATTTTTCAAACGGTCAAGATAAATTGCAAAATTTGATGTTGAAATCAGATGTTTGTGAATATGAATGAGTCCTTGTATGAAATTTGTAGTCTTTTTTTTTTTCCGTCAAACACCATTTTATTAAGTAATCGGACGGAGACTTTCTTCTAGAGAGAGCCAATCCGGAGCCGATGTGCTTACATGGGAGAATAGGGAACCTCGTGCTCTTGCCTTTTTTGCGAGGCAATCCGCACGGACATTGTTACAACGAGGAATAAATCTAATAGAGAAAGAGGGGAAAGAAAGCTTCAAAAGCTTAAAATATTGCAATTCTACTGCTAAAGTAGGCCAATCAGAAGGGTTATTCAAAATGGTAATTAGCTCAGAGCAGTCAGTGGCGAAGTCAAAACTCGTCTTCAAATCTGAGATGAGGCATTCCATCGCCCAAATAAGTGTTTCGAATTCGGCTTGCAGAGGCGATAGTCCCCGACGAGAACTTTTCAATCCCAGCAAGATAGGGGTTTCATTATCCATAACAATCCACCCGTGCCCACTGAGAGTATCCGTGACATGCCAAGAAGCATCAATTTGGCATTCAGATGGAGCGTCTCCTGTGAATGTAAGATCAAGAGGGATCCTCACTAATTCAACGAGGGGTTCCTCCTTAGTATTTGCCGCCTTCCAATCTTTCGCCTCTTGAAAGGCATGATCTAGCGTATTTTGAGGAGATTCTCGAATATTTTCGAAAATCAAGCTATTTCGAGCCTTCCATATATACCAAAGTATCTATGGGAAAAAATGTCCAATTTCCTCTCCATTCATCATCCCTTTTGCTCTCCAGAACAAAAAGTCCAAATTTGCGAAAAGGGACTGACTAGGGAATGATGGGATCGGCGACAGAGCCCAAGTTTGAAGCGCTGGTGGACATTCAAAAAGGAGGTGATTGATTGTTTCTTCCTCAGCGCTACATCTTGGGCAGTGCTTCTCCTTACCGATGTATGAAATTTGTAGTCTATAAAGCAATTTTACATGCACCAAACATTGTCAAAGAAACTATATGAAAAATATCTCCCGAGATTTTTGAATGTTCACTTTAATAAAAAGATCATGTAACTTATAAAAAAAATATGAGTATTGAAAAATATGACTGAAAAAATATATGATCTATCTTGAGAACTAAATCATAGTCGAGTATATTATATGTGAACCAATATATGGTGAAAAGAGAGTAGATGTCAGGAGTCGACGAATGAATCATAGAAGATAACAAGAAAAATTGTAGTAAAAAGTGTGAAAAAATATTTACTACTACGGAAGATAATGAAAATGAGTAAAGTAGATTTTTCAAAAATTCACATTGATAAAAAATTTAAACTAAAATCCCGCGCAACGCGCGGATACATAATCTAGTTTCCCCAATTACCATATCATATGCATGCTGTTAATTAGGCTTGTATTTAATTTACCAAAAAAATGGTTAATCTTCTACATATCACATGATAGTCATCATTATAGTCATATGATCCGAGGTTAAATAATGTTCACATATGTTTATATAATTTTTTTTTTACTTTAGTCGGTTTTAATATGTTACTTAGTGAAACACAAAAAAAAAAAAAAAAAAACCTATAACATAAGATAATGTTCGGATCATATGATTGAAGAGTTTCATAAGAAAACGATATATATCTTATTTCAGTTTCCATTCTTTGAACTAAAGTCTTCTATATTTTTTGTTTTAAAAAGTTGTGCATTTTATTTCAAATTTGAAATTAACTTCGAGACAAAGTAACGTTCCTCGCTTCCAAATAGAATATAGCTTATATATTGTCAATTTTCGTGTGTTATATTCCAAGACGCAAGACTTTGACATCTCTACCAACACCTTAAACCATTATTTTTTCCAAGGAAAACATATTCAGTGTAACTTAACATATTTCTAAAAATTCTTTTGTGTATAGATGGTCCAAGATCGCTGCAAGATTACCAGGAAGAACTGACAACGAAATAAAAAATCATTGGAATACTCATATCAAGAAGAAGCTCCTTAAGATGGAAATCGATCCTTCAACCCATCAACCTTTAAACAAAGTATCTACCGACAAAAAGTTTGTCGATAGATTAACTTCATCGAAAGCCGGAAATGTAAAGAGAAGTGATAGTAAAAGCAAAGAGATCGATGGGACAACGACAAATACAATAGATGAAACTAGCACGATCACTCATAAAAATAGTTCAAAAGATGATTATGAATTACTTGGTGATATTATTCATAACTATGAAGATTTATTTAATATTCTATGGACCAACGATGAACCTCCTCTAGTCGATGATGCATCATGGAGTAATAATAACGTCGGTATTGGTGGAACAGCTGCAGTCTCAGCCTCAGACAAGAACAACATTGCTGCCGGTGAAGACTTCCCGGCACAGTCATTAGAAGAACAGAACGGCGAAAGTTGGATGTTTTTGAATTATTGCCAAGACTTTTGTGTTCAAGATTTTGGGCTCGAGTGTTACAATGGTTTTGGTCAAAGCTCCATGGAGACAGGTCACAAGGACTAGAATTTGCAAGGATACATGGCATATACACACATGTACTAGGTATATATGTATATATCTATACGCATCATAGTATTATGAAATAATGTAAGAAAAATCATGTAAAGCAGTAAAGAAGCACCATGGTTTTTACAAATTAGGGTAACAGATAAAGTGTCACTAGGAGTTATAGTTAAGTCGGAGTTATCGACTTATTTCCTTTTCTTTTACGTCTGTTTTCTGCATTTATTTTAAATAATAATTATTTCAACCCAACAGGGCTTTTTTTCCTGGATTTTAATTTCTGTTTTACATAAATTTTATGCTAGAATTTTTCTTTCGTTAAAGTGACTAAAAATATTGGTTGTCAACATTTTTTTATCTTTATCAGGATCGATCTTTATAGTAAGTCCATGATTTATTAAATCAAACGAAAACAACATTACTTTTTATTTGTAAAATCGTTGTAAAAATAATTTTGTTGCTTATAATATATATATATATCAGCTGTTGAGTTTGAAAATATATAAAAAAAATATGTTCAACAAAACCAAAGAGCAATGAATTAAAGATGAATTTGGTGCATGTTCCCCAAAATATATAATTATTTGATGATAAATAAATTTTGCGAATTTGACAAAATTTATCAGTGAATTTGACTGATCTGATGATAAAATTTTACCAAAATTCTAATTTACCTTCAAAACTAGTAAGAGGTGTGACCATCCGGACAACTAAAAGCATCTTGTTAATTTTTTTTTATCATTGGCCAGATAAAAGAAAAATATGAAGTAAGAAAATAATAAGTTTTTTGCGAGTTTTTTTTTTTTTTGTTGTCAAAGGACGTTATCATTTCACGTGGACACAAGAAAGACTCGGTGTGTATATTATTATCATTAAATAAAAAAATTCTATTTTGAAATTTATGTGAAAGAGTTCCAAAATGGACATCTACATGACTACATCACATCTTGGTGGAATCAAATGTCACAATAATTTTGTTTTATATCCAATTGCAATTTGAAGCAATTTCTCTTTGTGGAAATCACACATGTGAAATATATAACTTTGAGTTACAACCAATATGACCTGACAAATATCTCATATTCAAGAGAACATCTCTGTGGAAATCACACATGTTTATATATATATAATTTTTCAGTTACAAATAAATCTTAAGAGATCAGTAAACAAGTCACAGTTTCGTAAATAATTTATGATTTGAATAGTTTAGAGAAAAAAATATAACAAGTAAATATTCTGAATCTACCGAAATCCAAAAGTGGCGACGATAGTTTTTCGCTACTGATAACATAGAGGATTTGAACAAGCTAATGTATTTGCATGGCGCGTTGTATGAATTAATGAGGCTTTATCCACCTACTAGATGAATACTTACGATACGCGTGAATTTTTGTTTTGAAAAAAATTGCAGAAAAAATATGATTATGGTTTTTGCTGTTTTTATGTTCATTTTAATAAAGTCATATCTATTTTATATAGTTATAATTTTTATGATTAGATTCATCTTTGACTCGAAATATCAATTCTACGCTTTTCATGTATAAATCTGATTATTTATATACTTACGATCCTAATCTTTTATTATCATGGATACATAAAACAACAAATATATGATAAAGTGATACAATGGTATGCAGTTATGTTACCTATGTGGTTTGAAACTTGCCTACCTTAATTTTAAACAAACAATTCTTTGTCCAATGTACTCTCTCGTCATCTAGTATGTCAACCACATCATGATATGTTAGTAATTTAAGTCAACACTTTAGACCTCATCCCTTGCATATAGACATATATAGAGAGAGTTTCATGTTTTAAATTTATTGGTATGTCTAACGTCTCAAAAGAATCTTACGTGAAAAACTTGTATGTCAATGTTACCAACTTATCATAACGCAAAAAAATGAAAAGAGAGAAGGTCATATGATAAGTCATATTTATAAAACGTAATAATAAAAAATATTCAAAGTAAAATTACTAAATTTATATGAAGCTATGTATCAAACATCTAAAATACAACACAAGTAATTTTTCTAGCCATCACCAAGTAGTGACCATTGATAAAAGAAATTTAATAAAATAAAAAGAATGAAAGTAGTGCTTGATACATTAGTATAATTGTTTACTTTATTTTTAGTTTTTATTTTATATCAATTAAGAATGATATTAGTGAAAGATTTAAAACAACAAAAGACTTTTGATTTTCCTTCAATTAATTTTACTAATCTTTTAATTTAAATAATGTAGAATGACACATGTCATTTTCTTGTGTGATGATGTGGCATCTCTATACTATTAAAAGAGAAGTACAAATGCAAATGGGTCGGGTCAAAATCAGAAAATTGACCCAAAATTCTGAAATCGGATCTTTGAATTTTTTTTGGAATATGATTTCTAATTAATATTTAATAATGAAAAATCGAACTAAAATATTGAAATCAAATAAAATATGATTGTATTTATGGTAACTAATTATAAAAGCATATTCCGAACAATACTATACATTAATTACGTATAATATATTTGTTCATATATTTTTGGAACTAATTCCATAACAATCAACGTTTTGTCATTAAATTTGCTTATTTTAGCCAATTAGCATTAATTGAAAGATATCTTACTTGCTTCAAAAGATTTCTAGAAAATTTATCACAACTAACCCATCTATTTTATAAATTAAATAGATATTTTTATTTTGGTCGTGCAAATTAAATAGATATGAAATCCATGTAACTAATTTTAATTTAATTAAATTAAACGAAATTATGGTATTTTCATACTGATAGCTTACCAAAGAAGTTTAATTTTAAAATTATAAAGATTTCTTGAATATGATTTTTAGAATTATTCAACAAGATGATAAATATTTATTAAATTTTGCGAATCATGAAAAATAATAATTAATTTTTAATCGTTATATTTCACTTTTCAAAGTTTCAATCTCTCATCTAAGAAATAGGATATAGATTCTATTATTCCTATGTCCAAACTCTATTTTGTTGTATGACTAAATAATATTTCCACTAGAGCTGTCAAAGCGAGTTGATTCGTCCCGTTAAGCCCGTTTTGTGATAGGCAAAATATATTTTGACATATGGTTAGTTGGTCCACACGACCCGCATATAGCATATATGAAACACAAATCCATCCCGCGAATGTATGCTGATTTGCGGGGTTGTCCGTGGATTTTGTTTAAATAATTTTAAAATAATGAAAATTTTAAATACTACTAAAATAAATAAATAAAAAAAATTAGAGGAAATAATTTTATATCTCATTATATTTATAAATATTATAATTTCATTTATTAAAAGTTTTTAAATTACCAAATGTTGAATAAATTATACTTTTATCAATAAATACTAACATGCGGGCTGATCCGCCAACCCGCGGGCGAAAACCGATTAAAACCTATGATCCACTGCGAATCAATCCGTGTGGCCCGTTTATTTACGGGTTTAATATATTTTCACAAATATGCCCCATAGTGAGATGATTTGGGCTCGACCCACGGTTTTTGACTTATTTTTACTGCTCTAATTCCTATGAATCATCTAATTTTAGAATTCTAAAACATAAAATTCTATTTTTAATCATAATTAATATGATCGGTTTAATTATAAACAATTTAACATTTTCTCTACAATTCGTTATTATGAATATTTATAAGTACACTACCCGATTCGCTCAACTTAAAACACGCACTATTAAAATCAACGTATGCAAACCAATATTCTCCCGCGGTGGACCGCGGGTCCGATCCTAGTTCATATGAAGAGAGTTGACCAACTTTCAATTCCATACCAGCGCAAGTCTCATATAAACCAAGATGTTCTCCCAAGTGGGCATAAAGTCGAAGCAAAGTCTCATATATGATCTTTACATACGCGTTGGGGAGGCTGCAATCCTTATGGGAGAAGATGCAAGAGAATAACAAGCCAGAGAAATGGATTTCCGAGATTGGAGAGTTAAGGAATGAGCTTTCCTCCAAGTTTATGATTTTTAACGCCGGTACAAGAACATGTCTTGGTAAGAATTTAGTTATGACAATAATGAAGACTGTGGCCGTGGAAGCATTGCGAAACTATGACATTAAGATCGTCGAATGGCAGAATATTGAGCCACTTCCTGGTCTTACTCTTCATATGGAGAATGGGCTTAAAGTCACAACTTCTATAATCTATGACATAAAGAGTTGTTTTTAATTTTTAATATTGTAGTAGCAAATAATATGAAAAAAAATTATGACAAAATTGGTATGTTAATGATTGGATGAAATGCATATATATATATATTTCTTAATTAGTTTTATGTATTGCTGAAATATCTCTTTTCTTATTAAGGTTATTATAAATGATGTGTTGCATTTTTAGCATCTTTTGTCCTTTGTCCAGTGTTCGTTTTGAGTCGTTTATCGCGTCTTCGTTCGTCTTTTGTGTTTTTTTGTCGCGTTTTGAATTTTGTACAGATTTTAGGAAGTTATACTGGAGTTGGAGGTTTTTCTATCAAAAACGGGTGTTAGGAGAAGAAACGGGAATATGGTGATTCAAGACAACTCCGCTGGAGAATAGCATCGGAAAACTTCTTGATGCCTCTATTTTGGTTTTCCAGTCCAACCCTGCTAGAGAATGACATAGGACAAATCTCATCGGGTAATTCCTTGATGCCCAGTTTTGGTTTTCCTGCCCATCTCTGCTGGAAAATAGCATCGGACAAATCTCATTGTGCAATTCCCTAATGCCCAGTTAATTTTTTTAACCGGATTTATCTTCTATTTTCTGTAATTGAGTATAAAAACACAGAGACCTAATTTTTCGAACACACTTTCTTCTCTGCAACTTTTTAAGAATTTTCTATAAACAGCTACTCTAGGGATTAGAGATTCATCATCTTTGGACATATATCTATGTCTTAATTAGTTTTATGTATTGTTGAAATGTCCCTTTTCTTATAGGGCTATTATAATGTATAATCGGCTTATTTTCATAAAATATCAAGTTTAGTACGTTTCTCTTTTTTGAAAAAGAAGTTTAGTACGTTTCTCAATAACTTCTAATGAAGATTTTAGACACATCCCCTATAGATTTATATTATACAAGACACCTTTCACATGATTTATTTTATATCATTTACAAACTAAAACTAACTTCAAGAATTTGGCATGTACCTTCCCCTATAGATTTATCGTGCACAAACTAAAACTAACTTCCGGAATTTCGATGTACACGATCACATATTTCACATGTACTTTTACATAAGTTTATAAAATAAAATAAGCATACCTTTTGTAATAAAGAAAATGACATTAAAGTCGACAACAACAATATTTTCAAATTTCTAAAATGTAAAAAACAAAAGTCAAAATACAACGCCATGGAATCGAACCAAACAAATTTCTCACAACATATGGATAGGAATCGATCTTGATCAAGACTATAAAATAAAGCACTCCAGTGGTTAAAAAAATATAATTTCAATAAAACATCGCAGCGATCGTGATCAAGACGACGCCGACCAAGCCTGTTCCCGCGAGTTTGCTTGCAGCATTCTTGTCAGATTTGGGTGGTCCTAGAAATGACAAATCAAGTATATTTTAGTAAAACGTTTGTCAACTTAATTAAGAAAAAAAAAAATTAACAGTCTCACCCTACGATTTTAGTTAAAAAAATTGCTTAACATTTTCCTCATAATATATTAAGATAAATTTCATCCAATTTATATTTAACATACTAGCATTGTTCCTTACCTGGAACAGGTGCTGCCGTCTGCGGCAAAGGAGCTTGGGCTACCATCAATACAAAAGAAAAAAAATATCAAAATTTAAATTCACATTACCAAGTATGACCTTGGTTACAAAATATATCCACGATAAGTGTTTACACACATATCATGTAAAAATAGTGTATTGTTTAGTAACATATTATGAGATTTTTTTTTGGTTTAAAGAAAACACATGCTAGAAAAATAACCCAACTTACATACGAATTTGTCATTTAAAGATTTTGCAAATAAAGAGGTAAAATTAAGCTATCTAATCCATATGCTCTATAAAATTTGTAACCAAAACGTTACCGGTTTTTTCGGAACACATGTTGGGATCGGCGGTGAGTCCACAAGTTTGGGAGAGAAGAGCATTGAAAGCGGTGACATTGAAAGGGATCAACAACGTTGGGCTTTTGATAAGTCCGCAAAGACAAGGTAGCTGAGTTTTAACCGCGGTCTCTAAGGCGGTGCAGCATTCTGGCGTCGGAGGTCCTCCCTGAGTAATTGCCGGAAGACAAACAGCCAAACCAGCCGCACAGTTCATAACTTCGTTGACTGAAGGACTAGGAGCCAGTGGAAGATGTGGTCCGTGTCCTGATACAGTCATAGCTGCCATCAGCAATGTGGCTAGGAGGAAGATCACGGTGGTGGTTTGAGCCATTATCTTAATCGTGGGAGGATCGTTTTCTTTTGTTTTAGGTGCTTCATTAATTAGTATATATACACACTACAACCGTGTTAAAGTTATTGACTTAGTGTTAGTGTTATGTCACATTGTGTGATATATGTATTCCCCTAATTGGCATAGTTTATTCGTGGACTTTTGTAACAAAAAGACATATTCTGTTCCAATTTGAAATAGAATATTTATATCTGGCATAATAATATAGTATGTATATCCAATTGAATAATTATTAATTCGCGGACATTTTATTAGGAGCTAAGGGTAATTGTTCAATCTGAAATTTTGTTTGAGTTTTTCATTATTTTTTTAAAAAGACTAAACTGAATTAAAAAAGTTAACCTCATGGATAGATTTGGTATCGTATATGTAGGTATTGGTTTGAATTTAGATTTTAAACAAAAGCAACTTTAGTTTCTTTGATTAGGTTTGGGATTTTATAATTCTGTTTTGGGATTATTGTAGATTTTGCCATTTTTTGGAGTTGAGTTTATGGATTTTGCCATGTTGAACATTTAAACGTTTAAATTTACGACTTGTTTTTGCTAAAATACACACTTTATAACAAATTTTCAAATACTTGTGGAAGTCGAAACTAACACAATCAAGATTTGTCTAGGGTTTTATTTTAGGGATACGATAATCGTGAATTCTCAAAGAACAACAGAAACGATTGATACCAAAGATGGTGTTCTTGATATTATTAATGAAAAGATGATTTTGATCGTACAAGAGTTTGATCGTAAAAGGAAAAGTGTTTTTGCTGTGAGAGCTTTGCGTAGTGTAATTTCTAGAGCGATATTGCTTGTCCCTTCGTCTGAGCCTTGAATCTCTTTATATAGGGATGATAAACCGCCTCTCCAGCGATATTCTCGGAAGATTTATCTTGAAGTCGGCTAGAATATCGCGGATTAGGACAATTTCCTTATTCTTCGGAGTTTTCGGATATTTCCTGATTTGAGTCGATCCTTCGCGATTCTTCCTTATCATTTCCGAGTTTATCGGAAATGATCCTTCTTTTTCGGAAATGATAACTTGCTTGGAAATGATACCTTTAAAGAAGAATATTTACTAAGTCTTTGCTTCGGGCGATGATGAAGACTTCGCCTCGGGGAACTTGTAAGACCGGCTCGGGTACACATGAAGGACTGGCTCGGGCATTCTAGGATGGCTTCTTCGGGTGTCCCCGAGGCGATGGGCTCGGAAACTCCCGAGGCAATTGGGCTCGGGTGCCCCCGAGGCAATTGGGCTCGGGTACCTTCGACGTCTTGTTCTGGATATCCCCGAGGCAATGGGCTCGGGTACCCCCGAGGCGATAGAGCTCGGGTGCCTTCGTAGTCTTGTTAAAGTATCCCCGAGGCGATAGAGCTCGGGTGCCTTCGTAGTCTTGTTAAAGTATCCCCGAGGCGATGGGCTCGGGTATACTAAATCGTTTATACAGATATCCCGAGGTGAAGGATGCGATGCCCCGAGATGATCTCTGAAAGACTCCCAAAGTGTTCTAAGTCTGGCTCGGCGCCAAAGGGTGAAACCGACCCCAACAGTTAGCCCCCCAGCTCGTTAGTTTGGAGAACCAAGCGTGATGAGCTTTATGACATTTAGGCCGAGCCGTTTACTTTGAACAGTTCGGTCCTTTTAAAGTTTTTGGCGATTCGGATTCCTCTGTCGTTTCATCTTCTCTTGGCGTGTGACGGTTGGGATTCCTTCTCGAGAAGTGGAAAGGTCCTTTCGCTGATTCCCGAGACTCGTGCGGATGCGAAGTATCTTACTTACTTCGTTTGTGCCCGACGCGCCTCAGACGCGGATTCGATGTGTTTTTATTTGGCTCGTTCGTACCCGACGCGCCCCAAATCTCTATAAATGTTAAGCTTCCGCTTCATTTCTTCATTTCGCAATTGCAAAGGAAAATTTTCAAGGTTCGTTTTCTTCTCTCTGATCTTGAGTTCTTGAATTTTCTACTTTTTCCGTTAATATTTCCGTCATAGCGCCACCGTCATTAGATCTAGGTTGATTTCCCCGATCTGTCAAACTTTGTTTCTCCGATCAACTTCTTCAATCTCCCGAGCCAGAAAATGTCTCTATCTGATTCCAGCGATTCGCCCCGAGGCGACACTCTTCTCCCCGTCTACAAGAGAAAGATGGTCTGGAGTTCCTCGAGCGACCCCGAGGTGGACCATCAGATCGTGTTATACCGTGGGAGTGACGCAGAGTCGGCTTCACGGGAAGAAAACCCGAGCCGCTTCGTTGTTCGGGAAGACGCGGTTGCAAATGTGGCTCGGGATCAGGATTTGCCTGATGATCCCGAGGCGATTTTGAGTAGAAGGAGGGCCCATCCACCGGCAGTTGGTGAAGCTGGAGTATCGTGCTGGCGAAACGCCCCCGAGGCGCCTCTACTTCCTATTAAGGCCGAGGAAGTCCACTACGATTCTGACGAGGCGGCTAGGTTGCTTCAAGCTAAAGTCCGAGCAGCCAAGGGTCAGCAGAAGAGAAAGCGAGCCAAGAAGGCTAGGAAACCTGATCCCCCGGGTTCTACTTTATGCACGGAGGATTCCCTTCGGGACCTCAAGGCTCGATTTGGTTTCAGTGAGGGGGTTGAACTGAGACTTCCAACTCCAAATGAGCGAGCCGATGATCCACCCGAGGGGTTTTTTACCCTCTACGAGGGGTTCTTCTATCATTGCTTCCTTTGGCTTCCAATCCCGAGGCCGATTTTGGCGTTTCTGTGGTCGTACAAGATTGCTTTATCTCAGATAACGACCCGAGGCTTGCGGCATCTAGTGGGGATTTTAGTCCGAAGTATTGAGACGGTCAACCTAGTTGACCTAAGCCACTTAAGGAATCTCCTAGAGATCCGGCGAATACCGGGCCCTGTTGAGAGATTTTACATATCTCCGAGGCCAAATAGGAGAGTTATCGGCGGTTTCCCGAGCAAGGATGAAAAGTATACCGACCATTTCTTCTTTGTAGCCTTGAATGAGTATAGTGTCCACGAGGACTACTTAGGGAAAGTTGTTGGAAAGTGGAGACAAATCGGTACTACGCCCGAAGCTGTATTTGCTGTCTTGTTCTTTATATTCTCTTTACTAACCGTTTCTCTTGTTCATGCAGATCGGAACCCGTCGTTTCTCGAAGACATTCCCGAAGGCTTTCTAGACCTCCACGACGAACTAATAGCTCGGAAGTGTGATTGGACGAAGCACTTTTCCCAGGAAAGGATTGAGAGAGCCTTGCGTTTGTTGCACGGAGCTCCCTGCCAGTCTTCTTCAGAATCATCCGACCATCGTTTAGATCACCTCATCGAAATGCAAGGAGCCGCGCAATCTCTGAGAGCCAGGAAGGCTGCTGAAAAGAAGGTGGCTAAGGAAAAAGCCGTTTTGGAGGCAAACTTCAGACCTCCTACTCCTCCCGAGGCCAACCTTGAGGTCGTCATGGGTGCCGAGGCAACTGATGTACCTCGGGACATGGTTCCGATCGTTCCCGAGGTGGTCGGACACATCTCCCCTACGACCGACGTCCCCGAGGCGGTAGGGACTCTGGTCGTCGCTGCTCCAGTCGCCGAGGCGAAATCCAAAACTAGGGGAAAAAGACCCCGAGGTGATGGCTCGGGAGTCTCTAGGAAGGAGAAAAGGAGTCGTAGCGAAACTCCAGTGTACAAGGACAAGATCGCTTCGGCGAACTTTGTCGCTTCTTGCTCCGGGCCGCCACTGTCTGCTCCCGATGCCTTGTTGGAGGCTCAAAACTACCGTGAAACCGCTGCCGGGTTCTTGAAGGTATTACCGATCTGCTCTTGATCTGTTTTACTATCGTTTCTATGTATACTTGCTAATAATTTTCGTTCTATTTCAGGCCTTCCATTCGATGAATTCCATGGTTCGGGCCTATGATTCTGGAGCTCGGAAGTCACGAGCTAGGATCGAAGCTAAATTGTCCGAGGCGATCGCGGCTAAACAGGAGGCTGAGGCGTTGGCCAAGGCCGAGAAGGTGGAGCGATTGAAAGCGTCTGAGGATAGCTTGCGGACTCAGAGAGAGCTTGAGGCCGAGGTCGAACGACTCCACCGGTTATTCAACGAGGAGAAGGCTCTCCGGGAGAAGGAGATTATCAGAGAAAGGAGGGCAGCCAAAAGGGAGTTCGCCGAGAAGGTCAGGGCTATCGAGGCGAAGATGGACCAGTTCGGGGAGGTATCCACGCGCTATATGTACTTGGTGCAAGCGCGGGCCAATGCCGAGCTGATAGCCGAGCTGGAGGAAGGAAAGAGGGTTGAAGACGAGAAGGTCGAGGTCCTTCAGTGGACTGCTGAATATGGGAGCGCCGAGGACGAGTACGTCCGTCTTGGGACCGAGCTGCGAGAGGACTTGAAGCTTCCTCCGGTTTCCCCGGATTCTGTCGATGACAGCTTCGGAAACCGTTCGATCGAAGGTGCCGCAGTGGCGCTGGGTGTTGCCGACCAGTCCGGTTCGAACCGAGGTACCGAGGTAGCTCAAGTTTCGCCGGTTAACCAAGATTCGATCTGATCCCGAGATGTCTTTTTCTTTCCCTCTTTTTTTTGTAAGACATGCCTGGATGGCTTTATCCCTTGAATATTATGTCCTAGTATTTTTTCTTAAACATTTTTCCGAACTGGATTCAAAACTAATGTCAAGTATTTGGTTTTATCCTTCGAGCCGAGAGTAAAAAGAATCATGCACCGGTGTTAAGTTAACCGGGTTTAAGAATCGCTCGTTGAGAAGTTAAATCCAAACGTCTTAACTTTCGAGCCGAAAATGAAATGAATCGTGTACCAGCGTTAGGATAACTGGGTTTTGGTTAAGTAGGACTAATCTTTATCGGTTGCGACCCGAGCCGATATAGTCGAAGCCAGTGCTTAGAAGCGGACTGGGGTACCAGTGTCGAAGTCAACTGGGTTTTCTGAAGACAATTTCTTTATGGCAGGATATCTCCGACCGAATCGTCTCGACTGTTTATATAGCGCGCTGTAACCGAGGCGGTGCAAAGAGCTTTTTCTATCCGAGGACGTGGCCATCGTCCGAGCGAACTTTTAGCTTTATAGGTCGATAAGATGACCGA